TCTTTTAAAGAAGTTTGACTTTTCTCTTGCTGTTTTCCCCTGCTTCGATGAAATATATATCACTTCGAAGTTCCCCAAAGCTCTGCATTGAAGAAAGCGTTGATTATTACTCTACCTTCAAGTGTAGTCGTTCTATTGCTTCTATTAGCTTTCGTGTGGAAAATGGGCTGGCTGGGGAAAAGAGAGTTGAGAGGTGAGTGAAGCTACAACTATACTGCACCATGCCCTTTTTCAAGAATTCTTATTTCCCAGTTAACATGTCAACTTTGATTTTTCCCGGAACAGAAATACAGATAGGCCAAGATAAACATGTTACCCTTCAAGAATTAATAGGTGCAACTCGAAAGTTTAGCAGCAAAATGGAGATCGGTAGAGGGCATTTTGGAAGGGTTTATAAGGTATACTTTTACATTGTGAACTTAATTTGTGGTAGAAATTTGATATTAGGGTGGGGTAGCTTTTGAATGTAGCAAATTTGTTCAGATATATAACATTAGTCTATTGTGTTGATGCAGGCTGAACTGGAAGGTGGTCAAACTACTGTAGCTGTTAAAAGACTCTCTACTCACTCAAAAGAAAAAGTTGAGGAATTCTTAAATGAATTCTATACCTTAAAGTCATTGAGGCATGAGAACCTTGTTCAATTGTTGGATGGTTATTTTGGAGAAGGGTTGCATTTGCTCATCTATGAATATATGCCAAACCTGTCCATTGCAGACGCTTTTTTTGGTAATTCATCTTTTCTCCTCCCTTTTCTAATTCTTCAAGCACAACATCAAATTGTTTTATTCTATATTATAGGAGCAGTATACTTCCTCCTTTTGTGTACAAATAGAGATACTTACATTCATATTAGCTTAGCCAACATTTTCCTCTTCATATCGTGTATTGCTTTTATATTAAGAAATAAGATCCAATACTCACTTGTCATTGAAATACCATCAAAATACCATTAGGTGATGCATACCAGATGTCTGTCTTTTGAGAAAACTTTCCATGACCCCCCCATTCGACAATGCATGTTACGACGCTTACCCCGTTGACAGAACCCACCCCGAATTCCTCGGAATCCGGGATGAATCCCGTAGTATTTCCGACATCTTACCGATGCATGGCCCATTTACTAAAGAACAAGACTTTCTGCGGAAATTTCGGCAGAGTCTCCCATTGAAAAATGGACAAATCCCAAATTCTTAACCTGTTAAAATCACAGTTTATCCACAACTAGCAGCATGCACAAGTTAACCAACAAGCAGTTTACAAACTAGGCCTCTGACCTTTCAAATCAAACCCTAGAACGGGCAATAACAAAGCAATCTAGGAATTTCATTTTTCAAACAATAAAAAGTTTAACAAAACATAAACGAACCAAACTTATCCTATAGAAGCTCGAGGTTTGGAAACTCAGGGCTTGGCTCTGCTGCTCAGCTCAGTCAACTACTATCTGGGGGGCGCAAAACAGAAAATGTGTGAGTGGACAAAAACAAAGTTTGATTTATCTTGCAAAACAATATACTAACCCCACCGTTTACAAAATAATGCCAAAACATGCACTTGATACCATATCTATGTAAGCATTTCAAAGTCAAAGTATTCTCACTTTCCCAAGAATATATGATACCAACCAAAACAAAACTTTTTTACTTCAATCCAAAGTTCATGAAGAAATGACTGAAAACGACATATGTAAGACTGTCTTTAAAGTATTCCACTAATACATTTATCCATATATATATATATATATATTATTATAAAAAGTTATATAAATCCCAAACTATGGTAATGTATTCTATAATATATATATATAAGTAGTCCTGATCTCTTGGACTACAGGGGTCCAAGAGATTTGTGGTCACTCACCATTGGATGTAAATTCAACGATTCACTTACTCTTGCATTCCTTTTAAGAAACTTTTTTGAACCATTAGATTAATATCCAACGGTGGGTGACCATAATCTCTTGGACTCCCGTGGTCCAAGAGATCGGGACTGTATATCTAAGTATCACACCAACTTGAGTATCGGGGAAAACAATCCAACAGGGGAATTGTTTGGCTAGCCTGCAGGATTTCAAGTTTCTACCCTGCGTCTAGGGATGAGCCGTCCAATCAGGGGACGAACACTCTATAGCACACACGCCGGAAGTTCCAACGCCACGTGTGGCCAAAACGAATCACTAAGTCCTACATGCGCAGACAACTTCATCACACGCCGGAACATCCAACGCCGAGTGTGATGAACTAACAACAAAACATATATGCCCACACATCGGAATCATCCAACAACACGTGTGGGTACAACAACGAAGGGAGGGTACTTAGCATAGTGCAATCACCTATTCACATAACCAATCAATAAAGTACCCCAAACTCATATTAATATTTTTCCCAAATACTTCATCATAATATGCATCGAAAATTTCTCAAACATAAATCCATATTCAAAGCAACCAAGATCCTCAAAATCAAAATAGTCAAAATTCCACCTTTTTAAGCAATACATATATATATAAAACACCTTATATATATACATATAAATCCCATAATCCGAACAATCCATCTTTAATGCATATTAATTCAATCGATAAAAACAATGCACTTTCAAAACAAAGTCCACTCACAAGTAGTCCCACGCTGCTTGACCCTAAGAGGGTCCCGCCTGCTGCGTACACGTGTTCAGAGTACCTATTTCAAAATACGAGCACGACATTAATACAAAACCCTTCGAACGAGAACTTTAAGTTAAAACCCTAATTCCCGAGTTTCATGTAAGCATGAGGAACAAGACGTTCCTAAGGTTCAACTACGTGTTTCGAATGAAGGTATAGCCTCGGAAGACGCTCGGTCAACCGGGCGATCAAACTTTCCAAATTGGGTCAACCAGGCCCATGGGACCCGCGACCTTCATTTCACGATCCGAAAGTTCTTAAGGTTCCCACAAGGTTTAGGATACACGTCCTACAAGTTTGGTTTGGATCGGAAGGTCGGATCACTCGCGATCAGACGGTTATCGTTTAACGCAAACTTTAAGTTATTGAATCAGAACATTCGGGGCTCCAATTCATGATCCGCAAATTCCTACACGATCCTAGGAATGTCTAGATCAACATATATTGAAATGGAGTCAATCCAACGGTCCAAACGTGTCGAACCCGGATAACGCCTAATATGCAATATCCAATCGACGATCAAACGATAACCAAATTCATATCCAAGCATACCGTCGTGCTCAGGATGACATGACGATTATTTTAGGACCCTAAGACCGGCCAAAAAGTGGCAACGCGTGGGTGTCCAAATCAATTTCCGGCCAAGACTTATACCTATACGAAGAGCACATAGAGTGGAGCAACTTTTGTTCTTGGACCTACCCCAAAAAGTCACCAAAAGTGGCCAGAATCGGGGGTCAAAACCGGCCAAAACTTCCATCGCTTAAAATCATTTCAAAACGCAGAAATTTCTCCTAAATTACCCAACCAGCAGCTTGATCACAAAGAGAGGATGAGAAAACATACCAAGTTCGAAGAAAATGGTGGCCGGAGGTGTTTGAGCGAGCTCCGAAAGTTTTCTCACAAAAACCGGCCGGTTTTCTGCGAAATTCGG